CGTCCGCCACCCTGCTTATGCCACACACTGGCACCGGTTTTGCCCCCCTCCCCTGGTCCCCTCTCATACCTATGCATATACATTACATACACCTATACAGATACATATGCATATGCACATGCGTACAAACATATACACACATACAATTATATCTACAGAGACAAACATCCAGGCATATAACTATATACGCTTAATTATGTATAAATATGTGCGTGCACACATATGTATACATATATGTATGTATAGTACGTCACCCTGTGTTCAGCACCGCGTGCAAGGCAGTGTTCTGAAGGCGTGCAAGCAAGCTTGCACTACCTCGACCGCGTGCGCGGGGGGAGGGGACAAAGCCACTGACTCACCGAAACACGGGCCCAACTCGAGAACTCTCCAAGTAGCATCCGACAGCATCCGGGCTAAGCCAGACCAAGCGCCCATCTACCCCCACACGCAGTCTGGTCAAGGGGAAAAAGCTTACTCCCCACCGTGGATCCCTCCCTTTGTTCCGCAGCCTTAATCAGTTGTGCATCGAAGTGAGGCCTCACGTTTCTCACAGACCCGCAGGGGGCAAACATTGAGTGAAGGCCCTTGAAGGCCCGTCGTTCGCACGCACATCAACATCAAAATGCAACATGTTGCAAAAGAAAACACGAAGCGTGAAACGGACAACTCGGCACGCAACCATTCACAGAATGTTCCGGGAAGGCTCCGCCAGAACATTCTGCGTGCACTCTGGCGTCGGGAGTTGACTGTCAAGAACCTGCCATCCTATCACCCCGAACACTTCGGGCAACACTAAGTGAGAGAAAACGCGAAATTATCTGCAGGTAGCCCGTGCTACAATATCTGCAGATACTTGCTGAAGACCCGCAACTCATCACAAACTTCAGGCGGCAATGACATGTCATGCGCCTCAACGACAGCTGTCTGCATGTTATGTTGACAATTTTTGAATGCTGCCAGCGGCCGCAGTCCAAGGCGCGGTCGATGCTGCCGCGAATCAGGAAATCCCAACTGGCGCCGCCTCGCCTGAGGCTGTGCAGCTTACGCCGGTCGGAATCCAATTTGGAGAGAGCCAGCCGTTCCTTGGGAATGCGACGCAAATGGCAGCGCGGACGATTGAGAACTGGCTCGCGCTGCGGGCGGCCCACGATGGCCATGGCAAGGGCACGTCGGGCCACCGCGCCACGGATGCTGACAATCTCCTTGCCGCCATGTCTGGCCGAGATTTTCGCCGACTCGAGGCGATATGCGGCAGCGTCGCACAACGGCCTGACGTCGCAGACGCGAAGGTTGAGCAGATCCTGGGACCGCAAGATGCCGCCAAGGCTGGCGAAACGCAGGGCAGCCACGCCCACGCAATTGATGGCCAACGCCAGGCCCGCTAGCCCGAGGCCGATCTGCGGGCTGAACGGGGCGGCCTGGGCAGGCGGCCCCATCCAGCTCCCACCTCTGGAGCAGCTTCTGGCTGCGCCGCAGGTGCCCGCTGGCGGGCGGCAGGTGCCATGCCCAGGGCAGGCAGCGCGTCGGCGGCGGCATTGTTGTTCTCGCCCGAGACCCAGAGCTCCTCGCTGTGGGCGGCAACAGTCACATCCACATCGCAGAGCGCGCGCGGGGCGGGGCCGCGCCCCCAACGGCTCAGCAGCGTGCCCAAAGCGATCTGGTACGAGCACTTCGAAAAGATGCCGGTGACCCTTTTTCGGCAAGCGGTTCCGAGCGCCGTCGGGGTTTGCCTTCGTGCCGCACGACATACTCTGTCTCTTCCAGCGCGAGGTGGCATCGGCTGGATTATCCTCGCTCGCCACGCAGCCGACCATGATCGAGCAGTTTCCGGCGAGAGCCCGCGCACTGTAGCGATACATATATATATATATATATGTGTATATATATATATATGGCGACCTTATTGACGGACTTGGGCCCCGACAGCAACGGAAAATGATATATTTGTTTCCCGCCGCTGCCGCCGACGACAACACCGACGACGACGACGAGGAGGAAGAGGAGGAGGAAGAGGAGGGGGAGAAGGAGGAGGACGAGGAGGAGAAGGAGGATGCTCTGAAACTCTCAAAGGCTGAATGCTCGGAAGCTCATGGTTCTGAAACTCTTACTGACCTGCAACTTATTGTTATGAGACTCATTGTTATGAAACTCATTGCTCTGAAGCTCATTGCTCTGAAGCTCATTGCTCTGTAGCTCATTGCTCTGAAACTCATTGATCTGAGACTCATTGCTCGAGAATTTCCTGAAATATTCATTGATCTGAAACTCTCAAAAGGCTCATTGCTCTGAAACTCTCACTGCTCGGAAACGCATGGGTATGAAACTCATTGCTCTGGAACTCATTGCTCCGACACTCATTGCTCTGGAACTCATTGCTCTGAAACTCGTTGTTCCGAAACTCATTGCTCGAAAAGGGGCTCAAACGGCTCGTTGCTCTAGAATTCTCACTCTGAGAGCCCACGGGCTCACAACACTCGCACGAAATACATGCCAAAGGGCTTTGTTCGCCGTCCTCCTCCTTCTCCTCCCCATCCTCTTGTTCCCCCTTCTCCCCCTCCTCCTCCTCCTCCTCCTCCTCCTCCTCCTCCTCCGATACTTCGATACGGATTGCAAACCTTCCTACGAACAAGCTCGACATTCTTGTCGCGTGGGGGGTGCCCCGGGAGGCACTGTCCGATGGGGGATGTAACCGTCCACCATTATTCAGCACGGCGCGCATTAGTGGGAAACTAACTCATCCTCCTCATCCATCTTCTCCTCCTCCTTTTCCCCCTTCCTACTTCCCCCTCCTTCTCCTCCTCCTCCTCCCTAGC